ACAACCGGGGCGAGAAGGCGGAGGAGGCGCCGCAGCAGGCCGCGGAGGCGGTGAGTGAGCCACGCGAGGCGGGCCGCGCCTGCCAGCCGCGCAGTTGATCCACCAGGGCTGGGTACGCGTGGCCCCAGGGAGCACTCGCGCCTGGCCTGCCCCTCGCTTAAGGTCGCGCCTGCTGGTGGCAGTACCGGTGGCCCTGTCGGTGCTGATGCGGCGAGTGCGTCCTCCGGAGCAACTGGAATGCACAGATTGGGCCCGGAGCAAGGCTCCTGAGAGCCCCGGGGTCACATTGCCTGCAGGCGCGAGAAACGCTTGGTCGTCTGGGTTTCCAGCTTTTAGAAGAAGGTGAGTAATAACTGCGATTCATCTCCTTACACCCCCAGATTCCCGATGGCCCCGGAATAACGGACGCCTCAGGAAAGCTTTCCCGATACAAACACCCCGTCAGGTGAGTGAAGGCCTTACTGGGGGTCTCCTGCGCCTGCAGCCCCAGGGAAGAGCCTGGGGCATCACATAGCCCAGCTCAAACTCTGGCCCTGAAGTCTTTCTGTCTGGGAAAATCTATCTACAATGTTTATCTTCCTAGTACCAGAGGTCCTTTACTCATCAAACTGATAAAATGTAGGAGCCCATGTTCTCACCTAAAAGAACTGTTTATCAGTGCACACTCGGTAAACACTTGAAGAAATATTATAAAGTGGGAAAGTGGGTAGTATTGATAAAAGTAGGACGGTGACATCTTGTGCGTGCAAAGCAATTTTTCCTACTGCCAAAGAGTTCATGTGAAACTGACTTCACACCAGGCGGAGTATGTATATTCTTATTCTCTTGCAAACCAGAAGAAAAAATGGTGTTCACAATTGTGGATTACAGCAAATCGAACAAATCGAGCTTGAGATGTAAGAGAAAATGGAAATGTGATGAAAATCCTAAAGATTATTAAGGATCATAAAAGGGATCAAAAGTTATCTGACCTAACAAGGAGGAGCTGGTTTACTGTTCCTTGCTACAGAAAGTCAGCCTTTCTGCAAGATTCTTTGTAGCTTTTAATCAAGTGAAAGTTTAATTCTGCAGTTGCCTGCTTCAGCCAGCTGTTAAATGAAGAGCTATATGTTTGTAGGACATGTATGTGTTTATAAGAGCACATAGTAGTCAATACATGTTGATTAATTTCCTGCCCTGTGCTAGCACTGGTGAAGGACTCAAGTTGAAAATAACCACAGCCCCTTGGAAGTGTTGCAATAGTTTAGTTTGGTCAGTTTTATGCCTAACTGCCAGAGGGAGTAGGGAAGAGGCAGGGAAGTATGTATCATAGGTGTGATTACCTGACTGAGTCTTGAAGTTAGCCAGATGGATGGTAGGTGGGGGAAGTGGTGGGGCAAAAAAAAAAAAAAGCACAGAAAAGAGAACAGCATGGTTCCTTCTGGGACCATCAAGGAATTAGAATTTGGGTGTGTGAAGCTGTGGTCATTCCAGCAGGGGAGCCAGATGCCAGATCTTCTATACCTTGCACAGATGTTGTACAAGAATTTTGTTATGATCATGTATGTGGCATTGGGAATGCATGAACTTTACTCTGTAAGTGGTACTAGGGGTTACTCAAGGGATTTTAACCAGAAGAATAGTGTGATCAGAACTATGTTTCAGAACAATCACTAAAGAAATGGTATGAAGGCTTAGAACACCAAAGGTGAAACTGGAAGTTATTGCAATTCAGACAAGAAATGATAAAGAGCCATTCTAAGGCACTGGAAATGGGGATGGGACTGGGTGAATTTGGGGAATACTTAGGTGACAGAATAGATTAGGCTTATAATGTATTGGATACAGTAGTTAAAGAAGAGGTAGAAAGACAGAATGGCTCCCAAGTTGGTGGCTGATGACCAGGTGAACGCTGTACCAAAAGAATGGAAATTAGTGCTTAAAACAGATCTGGGGAACAAGATAATGAATCAGATTTCCCTTTATCATGTTTATTATGCCTGTGGAGCCTTCAAATAGGTATATCCAGTAGAGAGCTGCATATATAGGCCAGAGGTCATAGTTAAGTTCTTTGGCAAATAAACAATTGGAGAAATCATGGCAGTGGGTCAGGTCATCTGGAGGAGTGAGAGATGAGAGATGCTCAGTCTTGATAAAACACTGGGGGAAGGCCAACATCTAATCTGCATGCAAAGAGAGATTCACAAGGATGGCTGGGAAGAATTACTCAGAATAGGGGGAAATTCAGGGAAGTATGAAGTCCCTGGAAGAAAAATGGTCACTGAGAGATTCCAGAGAGAGAGTGTGTGCTATTTAGAGAGTGTGACAATTAAACTACATTTTTTTGGGTTTGGTAGTTTCAGTTACACATTAGAAGATCAGTTGTTTCCTATATAAGCAATTCCTTTCTTTTCTGAACTACTGTAGCAATATCTTTGTATTTCTCTCAAGTTTATTTTTATTAGGTTCTGTCTTGAGTAATATTGTGTGTTTCTGATTCTTTTTACTCCATTGTTAATTTCTTGAGGGTTGGGACCATGATTTGTTCATCTTTGAATTACGAATTATGTTTGGGACAAGAGGTCCCTAAAATGTTTATTAAATGACGAATTACTGATGGTTGTTTATTTAGGCACCAAATTTGTAAATTAAAAACAAACTATTTGGCTAGCAACATTTATAAACTACATTGCCTTTTAAAATGAAGTATACTGAACATAATGTAACCTTTTCTTTGTTAGAATCAATCTATTATATGGGTGCATGGGACTGTTTATTGTACACTAAAATGACTGCACTGTAATTGGTGATTCAGCCTTGTCCTTCTTTTATTTTGCTTGGATGAAAAATAATAGAAGACCAGATGGCTAGATTAATAGTTGTCAGAAATTTGAAATTTTGAGGTAATCACATTTACATGCAACTTAAGTTGTATAAAACCAGTATCATTCACAATATCTCAATATGTTGTTCCCAAATTTAGTTGGGTAGGGAAAGGGGAGAGAGATGGGATCAAAGTTGGGGTCAGAGGTAAGCTTTTTAAAATGTTGCTTTTTTAAATTTTCTGAACTTGCTTTGGCTACATCTGTAACTAAGAGCTAAGTCTGATTTTCAAGCAAGATACTAGGTAATTTCTGCCTTGGTGTAAGGTGCAGAATATTTTGTCATCTTTATAAAGTTGGCTATTATCACAGTTTTTAATGTCCTGGTAGGATTTATTTTTTTCCCCAAAGGAATTTGAAAATTGGAAGACAAACCATCTATATTTTGTGAGAATAAATGTACCCATAATGCCTGACATAAGCTAAATGTTGATCTTATGCACTTCAAGGATTCAGTGTGAATTTGTTTGACCCAATTTACAGCTTGGATAAAGGTTTAAAATAATCAACCAGTTACTTGATATTTTGTCAAGTAGACTCCATGAAAGCTCTGTTAGTAGCATTTAAAACTCTCTATCTAAATGCATAAACCAGTTGTTAAATATATGGAGCTCTTGAAATTTGAACATTTCATGAGCATAAGGATTCTGAATGTGAAAAAAGTAAAGCATATTATGTTGTCTGCTTCTTACAGACTGTTTTGGCCAAAATCAAAGTGTTATGATTACTTATATCAAGAAGCAGAAGCTCTTCTGAAAAATTTTCCAATTCAAGCCACAATTTCAATTTATGAAGATTCTGATAGTGAAGAAGAAATTGAGGAGCTGATCTGTGAAAATTAGTCTAATTATTTTGATGACATTCAAAGCTTGTAGGTACAAATTAGATTAGTGTACAAATGTATCATAATTCATATAAACTAATTTATTTGTATATAAATTATTAATAAAATGAAATATTTACTATGGGAGTTTGGCTTTTTTTATCCCTACACTATAATTCAGTGTTGGAATTTAAAGATAGGTTCCACTTACAAATGTCTTGACTGTACTGTAAACATTTGGGGCTTACAAAAGATAATTTGGATCTCTTCATCAAATTACAAATTTATCTTTAGTTATAATTTTGAAAATGTTTATATATGACTTGTCAAAGAATGACATTATTTAATTTTCAAGACTGAATCTTGTAACAGCTGGTATTTCCTACTGATCCCCATTGGATGTTGTAGTTACAAATGAATATTATCTTATTAGATAATGAGGAAAAGCACCTTATGTTACCAATCACACATTATTATTATGTATTAGCTAGCAGATGGTGAAAAATGTAAATCATTTTCTATAATTGAGATTGGGAATCAATGTTAGGGCTATTAAGTTTTACAGATTTTAATGAATGATGAGTCAAGTAATTCTGACGTTAACACTCTTCTGCTGTCCTTAAATCCAGAAGTAAAATAGCAGAGGTTTTCAGTCCTTATAGCACTACATTGAGGGATTCCCCATAATTAAAACAAAACATCTAAGTGGATGTGGCTTACATGGAATCTAAAAAAGGGGATCCCAAAGGCCAGAATTTGATAGTATTTTTACATTTCTGTCCATAGGGGAGCTAAGAAATTTGCAGATAGGAAACATTCTCCAGCAGCATTACCTTCTGTTGCTCTTGTTCCCTGCTCCTGATACTCTCATGTAAAAATTTTCTCATGGGAAGTGAAATAAGACATTCTTTGTGATTACATTTTTTCAAAACATAGACTCAGAGAAGAATACATCATTTAATGAAAGAGAAAGCAGGAGCACTTTGCATGGTAAAGGTAATATTGTAAGCTATGATCATGAAATTCTTTTAGCTCAGATATAATCTTTTCAATCTCAAGCAATTGAAATACACATTTCCACTGCAAATGATATGAGCAGAGGTGAATGCCAGAGATGGTTGTCTAGCTAAGAAATGCCCCTTACTTGAATGACTACATACATTTGCACACTTTTCCTTCTAATTGTAAAGATACTACAAACATTGATTTACCACCACGTTAAGGACAAGGCAATTGAAATAGCGCAAGTTCAAACCATGTTTCAGAGTCAGGATAAGTTAGTCATGGCAGGAGGATGGAGAAAGTTACTTAGAACTATATTTCTTCTGAAGACTTTCTCCTTTCACTGGATTCTTCTCAAGGCTATGCGTGTTCCCCCAAGAGATACGCAGAAAACCCACCAGGTCACCAATCTGGACCCTGAGCATTAGGGACTGGTGTTACCTGCACAGTATTTGTGCTGCTGTCATTAATATGTTGGAGTAGTATGAAGAACCACAGCCACATTTATTGAGTGCCTACTATTAGCCAGGCACTCTACTAGGTAAATTACATATGACATCTCATTTAATCCTTACTAAAACCTAAACCCATTATGCGGATGGAAAATGAGGCTTTGGGATACTAAAGTAACTTGCATAAGGCTGCTCATTTATTAAGTGCGGGGATAGCATCCAAATTAAACCTATATGATTTGTAAACCTGGCTAGCTGTTCAACACTACATTTAGGGGTTGGCTGTATCAATAAACAATTCCCTCTATCTTTCAGGAAAAAGAGGAAGTTAGATGAGGAGGAAGAACTTGTGTGTGAGTGAATGGAGCAGAAGGAGACTTTACTAACCTTTTTGATTCATTCGTTAGTCATTAGCGAGAGCTCTTAAAGGTGAAGTTTTCTCCTTACCTCGCAGGAGTGGCTGTTTGCATTCGGCATCTTAATTCTTAAAGATTCTCTTTCCTGTACAGCCTGGTGCTTTAGAGGAGAGAGTTTCAGAGAAATCAGAATGCCTTAATAGAGTTAGTTTATTCCATATTTCAAGTAGTGTGATGGTAGTGCTTTAACAACGGACAGACACTTGTGTTCTGGGTTAACAGGCGTCCGTAAGAATTTATTCTCAGATTCAGTCAGCACCAAGGCTAAGGAACAGCTTCATTCTTTAATCTTTCCACGGAATAGCTGTCACCTCCCTGCGGTGCTGAAATTCACGGTGCGGGACTAACGGAGCATGCGTACTTCGCCCCGGTTCCACTCCTGCCGGCTCTACGTTGGCTCCGCCCCCAGCGGCTCGACGTGCTGCGTCATGACGCGCCTCACCCTGGGCGACCCCGGAAGTGGGTCGGGGGCTTGGCCTCTGCCCGGCCTCGGAGCCGGAGCGGGAGGTGTTACCTCAAAGGAGCCGAGCAGAACTAACCCGTCCCGCGGCGGACCCTGGGCAGGGCCCGGGTCAAGGGTTCAGGATGCTGAACGTCCCTTCCCAGTCTTTCCCGGGCCTCAGCTCGCAGCAGCGCGTCGCCTCCGGGGGGCGTAGCAAGGTAAGCGGGTGACACTATTGGTTTCACGCAGCAGCTCTCTCCTGCTGCCGGCGTTTCGTGCTCCGGCACAGTCCGTTGTTCTCTTCTTCCGTCCCCTCTCCCACCTGCTGTCCCCTTCTCTAGCCTTCGTTCCCTCCTGCCCTTGCTGGCGATCCCTTTCAGATCGCAGCAGTGTCCAGTCCTCGAACTCTTCTAACCTCCCTCCCTCTTACCTACTGGCCCCTTCTCTTTCCCATCCCTTGATCCTGTTATGTCAGTTCCCTTCTTCCAAGTCTTTCCTTGCTAATTAAGTTAAGATGTATGTTAGGGCCGGGCACTGTGCTTCCCAAATTGTAGGCACTCATTGTTGGCTTCCTTCCCTCAACGTATCCTCCGTTCTTTCGTTCTTCACTTGACGAAGGAGTTCTGAGCGATGTGGGTTCCCTAGAAAAAGGGAAAGATTGGGCTGTAGCGACAGTGAGCAGTGATCATCCCGCCAAGGGTGGGGACTCCGGGAGCTAGGGAAGTTTGGAGAAGCGAGAACAAATGTCTGCAAACCCGCGGTTAGGTTTACGGACACTTCTCCAAATCACACTCCCCTTCTCTCTTCCTCTGGTACCTGGTTGTTTTATCACTGCCTTTTCTACTGGTATCACTTGCTGACTTTGAAGCTGTTATAAAATACTCTTCAAGTTTTTGTTGAACATAGTTACTGTTACCAACAGGTGAAGTACAAATGTGTTTTGTATTTACAGAATTTAATAAAATTGACTCCTGTGTTTATTGCAGCATGAACGTTGCTTGCGCCTGTTTGTTAGTTCCTCATTCAATAACCACATCTTTATGTTTTGTTTTCAAGACTTCCACCTACTTGGGCCACCCTTTTTAATTTCTGGACTCTTGAGTCTTAGCATTATTAACATCATTTGGGACTTTAACCAACTTTCTTTATTTTCTCCACATGGACCTGGAGTTTGACCCTAGATCAGAATCATAGATTCAGGGATCTGTAGCTTTTGTTAACTTTTCAGAAGTCTATAACCCCAACTGTGATGATAATATAGCTGAGATGTATTCATTGCTTACTGACAGCCTGAGTGCTTTACATGTATTAATTTGTTTAATCTTTCCCATGATCCTATGAAGTGGGTGCTTTTGTTATCTCCATTTCACAGAAAAGGAAACTGGTTGAGAAATGCTGCACTGGATGCTATAGACTTCATGTGATGTGACTCTATGACATTTCATTTGTTGCTCCGTATATTATTCGGCCATCTAATTGTGTGTCCTCTCCTCTTTGGCATTTGACCTGTTTCTCTCGTTAAACTAAGTGCTGGCTGAAATAGTATAGCCTTTCTACAGAAAGAATTTCTGAATAAGAATATGAGAGTTGCTGCCCTTCTCCATTAAAACTACCAACCATGTCCTCAGTATCATTTAAAGGAGTAAACTTAAAGGCAAAGACAAAAGGTCCACAGGTAGTGATGGCAAAGGTGAGTCTTTGAGTCCAAAAAGAGAACAAAATAAGATTATTTTGCAAATCAAGAGAAAATTTAGACTTTTTCCCGCTTGTTTCCAAACCAAACTCAGATTCACTTGCCTGACTCACAGTAAAGCCAACCTACTGACAGTGGGTAGTGGGGAAGGAAGGTACAGTGTTTATTACTGGGCACCAGGCAAGGTGAACAGGCAGTTAATGCTCAAAAGACCTGAACTCCTGATGTTTTTCAGGCAACTCCTGATGTTTTTAAAGGCAACATTAGGGGTGAGGGTCACAGGATGAGTGATCAGCTTATGGACATTCTTCTGATTGGTGGTGAGGTAACATGAGGATATTTTAGAAATCTCAATTATCAGCCTTCTGGTTCCAACCAGTCTGGGGTCTATACATGCTTGTGGTTTTAGCGGTTTCTATCCCATGAGAGCCTTCATTTCTGTAGAACCCAAGGATATGTATCAAGTTGTTATCTATATCCCTTCAGGAGGGACTAGGAGTCCCACTGCCTTTTCCCACTTCTTTAATCATTAACTGTTTGAATCTGCTCTTTGAAACTTGGGGAAGACCTAGGAGACTAAAACTTTTTCTACAAACAAGGAACAGGGAGGGTCCTGTGGGGTCCTGCTTATTGCAGAATAAGCTAATCTTAAACGTGTTAGAACTTGTCTTAGGATTGTATGAAATGGTAGAGGGTGAGAAAATAGAACTTAGTTGGGGGAGGTTGTATATCATAATTGTTGGAAGAGTAGACTTTTGATTTGGCAAAGACCCATTCTTTTTCCACCTCCACCATTTAACCTCTTTGAGTCTCTGTTACTTCGGGAGTAAATGGGAATTATAGTACCCATTTTATAGGATTGAATGAGATATTTCTCTCAGCACAGTCTTGGCATATGGTAAGCACTTACTCAGTGTTATTAGCCCTTATGCTTTTATTCAGACCTCATGGATTGTTGTGTAAAAGAGCCCTTAGCACAGTGCCTGGTGCAGAGTGTGCATTCAAGACTTCATAGCTATTATTATTTCTATGAATGCTAGTAAATACTTATTGAGAATCTACCATATGCTAGAGATGTGGTCTCTGTTGGGGAGGGGGAAGTTTCCACTTTTATTCAT